TTACACTGCCAATCACTATCCGTCTTTCCTAACATAATTTGATTAGTTTATGACCGAAATATACACATAAAACTTACATCAAACAAAGCTTTCTCCTTTAATTGCATTAAGTATTTTTCATCGCTTAAATTAGAATATTATGTTAGTTTTATTATATAACTGATTATAATGTGTTAACACTATTTAGATTTCATTAAGCTAAGTAATTGAAAACAATTTTTCCATAGGTCAAAATTTGTTTCTATTTTCTTCTTCAATACTTAACCAATTTGAAGTAAATTGGAATAAAACACTTTTATGTATGATTTTATACTGTAAAAGGTTTTTGTTCATATGGCCGGTGTTAGAAAAAGTGATTTGTTTTGAATTTATTGTCAATACAAAGCAGTATCATTGGTAAAGTGTTATTTCTTTTTTTCTTGTGATTAACAGTAGAATTTTCTAGTTTTACTAGTTTTTTCAGTGTCATTCTTTTGCAAATAGTATTATAATTTCAGTTTAAAGTTAGCACTCATTTGATTTCAGTGTCATGTTTTAATTTTATTCACCTTTAAATTGTCCCTACATTAAAATGATCTCATTTCTTGTTACTTACTGTACGACTGATACTCCTCGTGGAGGAGCATCAACCGCCTACCTGCACTTTACAACCAACTCTGTTCTAGACAATCCTTTCCAGCTCTTTCCAGTTGTTATTCACCTTTTTCATATCTGCTTCTATTTCCCGACGTAATGTGTTCTTTAGCCTTCTTCTTTTCCGCTTACCTTCAGGATTCCAAGTTAGGGCTTGCCTCGTGATGCAGTTTGGTGATTATTGTAATGTATGTCCCATCCATTTCCATCGTCTTTTCCTAATTTCCTCTTCAACTGGAAGCTGGTTTATTCTTTCCCACTCTGACCGGAAAAAAATAATTCATTTCCTGTAAATGTTGACAATTTAAGCGTAGCAAATCACACACACACACTGATTTTACTTTTTGTATTAATTAAATCCATAATCTTCATAACATGTCTGTTTGTTTTTACAAATTACATGTTCAACAGTAATTATTATCAAACGTGTTAATCTTATTAAAAGAAATCATTATAGAATCAGGTTATTTGTATAATTTCTTATTGAATATAATCCATAATAGTAAAATGTTAACTATATTTAATATCTAAGATGAATTAGGTCAAAGTACAAAGGATTAAAATTATAATATCATGTTTCATAATTCTTAGTTTCTTCCAGTTATCTTAGTTGACTACAAATTTCATGTGATTATATTTTTTTTATTGTGGAAATAATTATGTCACTTAGTTTTAAATAAAAATAGTTAGTGAATTTCAAGGTAAACTACAGATTCTTAAATGTAATACTTTTTAGTCGTCATCATCTAATACATTCTGTTGTAAATAAATACTGAATAGAGAAGTGAAATGAACTGGCTTTTTGAGTATATATATATATATATATATATATGGTACAGACTCGGTTCAATGTTTCAAATACTGCCTTGTTTAAGTTAATGTATTCAGTATTTGTATGTGTTATGATTTTAAATTGGTTAGTTTAAGATATGTTTAGCTTGAATAAATGCATTTTATTACAATTTTAAGTATATTCTTGTTTTAATGATTGCGGCCATATTTTTTGGTGGGATTTTTAAATATAAGTAGTTACATTGTCAAACGAATTTTAATTTTGATAATAGTTTTGTACTAGATAACAAATAATTGTGAACATTTCTATTTGTATTCTTATAGGTAAATGAGACAATAAGGTAAGATAGTAAATAAAATGAAAGTCAACTAAACATTCTTTAATGTAAAACTGGTAGTTTGATAGGTTTCTAACTCTTATCATAAATACATTATATTCAATGTATAAAAAAATGTTAGACTTTAAATCTTTTATTTTCATGAATGTAAAATGGGTGGTTTTAAATTTTCCATCAATCTTTTATTTCAATTGTTCTGTGGTTGTTCTTAAATTGGTATATTGTTCATATTTTTAATAGTTTCTGCAGTATTCTTAGATTTGAGTAGAATTAAGTTACGTTTTGTCTAAGATGACCATCTTTAGCTACCTCATATTATCTTAATTTAATTTTGTATTTTTATTAAATCTTCATTGCTTAAATCATTTCATGATTAAAGCTAGACCACCATTGAAAAGCACGGAGCATTGCACACCTGTTTTTTTTTATATGGTGTTCTTTAGTAGTAAATGGTGATAACCTCTCCCTAAGGAATAGAACTCAGGATCTTTTAGATCATATGGTCTTTTTGGCTAACGGTATGATAATGTCGACAGAAGCTTAAAAGTTTTGGAACTATATATATATATATATATATATTATATAATCATGGAAATGGAAATTGTCTTTGATTATTCAACATTTTATTAGTAATTACAACACAATCGATCCTAAATACACTAAAATTTAGACATAAGTTGACTGGTTAAATAATTAAGAAATGTAGTTTTATTCTGACTACTAAATGACTTTGATTTTTGTCTGACAAATATTGTATTGCATTTCATTCTAATGAAATACGTGCAACTTGCTGACCAGTATTTTGCGAAGTTACTCATTTACATTTTTTAACAAAGCATATGACTTACAAAGTAAGTTCTCTCTAGTTATGTCAATTTTAGTCTTAAAGCAATGAGCAATCGGTTGTGAATCCTATTCAGTTACAGTTTAACAGAAATCTCACAAAATTTATATGCATTGTTTCATTTAGTCTAAGTTATTGTTATTTTCAGTTATTACATGACAGTAACCAATCTCGGAAATGCCATATTTTTCTTCTTAACTGGACAATAAGAGGTTATATCGAAATTATCTGTCGTAAGAGTTGTAATAAATTTTAAAATTCCGTAATGAATGTTCCTATACTTCTGTCTTTTTTTCCCCAGTACTTCTAAAACCTAGCATCTATCACCCTAAGAAATTGATGGTATCTGTTTAATTGATTAGTTATATCATTTAAATGTTGTCTATGCAGTGTTAGTTATCTTTAGGATTTGAACATTGATATCAATTAGTTGCATTATCGATTTGATTAGGATGGGTTGCCGCAGATCTTAGTGGTACAGATACCACAACATTGTTTCCGTCAATATCTTATTTTGTTATATTTAGCAATAACTTTGCTATGCACTAATTTTAAATAGAATCCATTTATAAAAGAGATTGAAAACAATATTTCCTTATATTAACATAATTTGATCTGTTCAGTTTTACCTTAAATCTTAAAGTGTTTCTCATTCAGTAATTCATCAATGTTAATTGTTTACTAGTAAACGACACGTAATTTGAGTTTTACTTTGCTTATTCTTCTATCGTTCTCTATTCATACTTATGACCTTGGCAAATTTTAAAATCATAACATAATCTACTTTGTTTTATTTCTACAAGGAATAAATTATAAGAACTAACCAAGTTCACCTAATTTAAGAGCGACCTTTTTAAACTTTTCATTACAGAGTATTTGACAAGTTTTATTTAACCAATATACTGTGTGTAAATGAATAATTGTTTCAAACATTTACCTAATCGAAAACTTCGTTTATCTTATCTATCAGCCTAGAGATAAATGTAGAATGAAAGCCAATAAAAGGTGTCATCTTCCCCATACTTTTGTGATAAATTGATTATAATTACTGAAAAAATCAAGAACCATTATAATGTCTGATGTTTTTTCGCCCTTCATTAATCGTTTGAAGAAGCTTAAAAAAATTACAGTATGATTTCTACATTAAACATAGTATGAAGTGAAAAGAAATACCATGAAACAAAGACTAATCTTAAACATTATCAAATGAATATAAAGTCTTTTCTTTATACCTATTTCTTTTGAATATCCACATGTTGAATAGATTTAAACCGAAACTTTGTAATGATTTCGCATAGTTCGTTTTAAGAATTGTTTACCGTAATCCAATATTGAATATTCAATAATACAATCCTTATTATTAAATTTTATAAAAATTAATTTCCAATAATTTTAGTTAGATTAAATTATGGCTAACAGTGGAAACCTGAACACATGTGTTTCGTCCATATTTTTTTGTGAAGATTTTCTCAAGTTTATTTATATTCAATATTAATTTATTTATTCTTGTTTTAATCTGATTAGATAAGGAATTTTAAATTATATGACAAGCTATAAATGATATTGAATAGTTTATCTTTACATATAAAATGAATAGGATGACACATTATCTATTTACTGGTTGGTTGATACTTCAAATATAATTTATCATTTCAAGTTATATATTTTAAATATTCATAATACTTTTTTAGAATTATTTATATGACCAGAATAATTTTCAATATTTGCATTTTATTGAAAACAAAAAAATTCAATTTATCAAATAAATGGAGTGCATACTAATTTGTATACGCTTAGTATTAATCTATTCTTTCATGTCTATGTATATGAGAGTTTGTGTTTTTACTGATTAGCTTATATAACAGGTTTGAACTTTGAACATAATGGTTGAAAATGTGTATGCCATCATTCAATTTCTTTTAGATCAAACTATGATTGTTTAGAATAGGAAGAAATAACTGTCCGAACGTCGGAGAAGATGAAACTTTTTGTTTATATTTGTGTTAAATATGCTTTAAAGAATGACAAAGATACTATATATATAAAGTGACATGTATAAGATGTTAATCGTTTTTCCCTGATTATTATTGTACACCGAAAGCAATATAGAGCGTGTAAAATTGCTTTCTGATTCATTTGAAATACGTTTTTTTAAACTGTTGATGATTTCATGTTTTCTACACGCAAGATCAATAAAAAATTTATTGTTTTCAGTATGCTTAAACATTTTAACCTAGTACAGTATGTATATATCCTAATCCATCATTTCTATGAATAAAAATTAGTTGTTTGTGTCGAAACCATCAGTGTATTTTTATACAATGATCACTATTCAATTTAAAATCCTGATCACGAAATGTTTTGATAAATAATATTTCTTTATAACCTTTTAGGTTACATTTGGGTGTTATTTGGCTCGTAGTTATACTGCTTTGAATCAATTAGGCGTAACATGTTTTACCGGTATGTCGTATATTGTCAAAAAATCAATGTTGAATGAAGTTGGTGGACTAGCCTATTTTGGGAAGTATTTGGCCGAAGATTATTTCTTGAGTGCTGCATTGTGTCAGAAGTGAGTAGTTAGTGTATTTATGTATACCTAATGTACTCATTAACGATAATTAATCACGTTATTATCGTATATTTATTAGTTTAATATTAGTGCTTATGTTTGTAGTGAAACGTTGAAATAAATATTCGTAATTGGTTGAAATAACTATTTTTTTTATTATATCCTAGAATTATTTAATAATAGCCTTCTTTAATTCTATGATTTACTTCCTTATAAGGAAGTAAACTTATAATTTTATCAGTGGGACAACTTCCAAACTTGTTACTTTTAATTCCAACTTATTGCCTGAAGAGTTGGACTAATCTTTCACTGTTTTTAAGTGAATTAAGATTGAATATCAAGCAACAATTATTCGACATTTCTGTTTTCCATCACCTGTTAAATAATGGAAATAACTTGAACATTCCGTAACTTGTTGAATTGATCAATAAGTAGACCAAATCGAATTTATTATGCCTTGCTGAAAGAGCAGTAATCGAACGATATAAATCGAATCTGCGATCACAAATGGACAATATCTTTAACTTTAAAAGTTCTGAGGTGACCTTAATTCGATAATATTTAGTTGAGTACTACTCGTCTTCAACATCATTTCTTTATTTTTCTTGAGTTCTTTTCACCTTAAATTGTTGATCAATCTATTGCTGTATAATTATGTACTTGATGACATCAGTTCGTGAGCTATTTATAAGTTCAGTCTTCTTAGTCATCTTATTATTTAATGAAACCATTTAGTTGAAGTTTGACATTAACACCGTTGGATTCTGACTTAGTGGTCTAGTGGTTAAGTGCTCGCGCGCTAGACCAGTGGGTTTTAGATGCGCACTGCTGAGGAGTCCCACAACAGGACGAAACGGCCGTACATTGCTTTCAGATTTTCCATGGTGGTCTAGCTTCAATTGACTCATGATCTCAACTATTGAAACCATTTAATCCATCAAAACGTATTTGTTATTTAGATTAACTGAACATATACTTGCTAATGTAAGTCCATTAGCAGACTCCATTGCGTATATTGCTATTATTTTCTTTAATATATCATTATGTATGCAGTGGATGAAGCTTATCGTTACTGTTCGTATTATCCCTTTTGTATCTTGGATAAAAGGGTTTTTTCACTGTTACTACAGATGGTGAATAAGCGTTAAGTCATGCTAAGATTTAAAGTAATCTAATACGATTTGTGGCTGGATTCTGAATTTTAAAAAAATGTAAATGATAAGAATGTATTCTTTAGTCTGTTTATCTCTAAAAAAATTTAACTAATATTAGTTGTATGATCCTTCAGAGTCATATAAATACGTTATTTTGGGAAACAATACGTAACATAAATCCATTAATATACACCACTTTATTCTGCACATCAAAAATATATAATTCAATATGTTATTATCATTATTACTTGATGTCAAGTCATTATTACATATTATTGATATATTTATTCCATGATAACGCTTACTAAGAATAACTGTAGTCCATCAGTCTTTCACATCGTGAGTATACTGTGCATTAATGTGGTATCTATTGCTCTGTGGCTGTGAAATATGATCTGTGAAAGTATAAAACATGTTTCAGCTGTATTTACCAAATCATAAGCTTCTTCCTCGTTTTTCTCGTTCTATCTTGATGGCTTTCTCTCAGTGCATTGATATAAAATGTAAGAAATTCGGTTAATAAGCATTTATCCAGGATACACATTGTGTTTAACTTACTAATGATCCATCTTAGTCACTGTATCAATGATTTCAACTACAAACAGTATGGTAACTAAATAGAGCCCTTTAAAAACTGTTTTCATCTTATAAGAAATTCCAAAGCAAACGGATCATTCCTCTCATTGATGAGTTTTTGAATTATGAATACTTAGATTTTAGAATTCATCTATGCATCTTAATTCTTGTAAATATCATAAATTGTGTAGAAACGCGGCACGTGCGTATGTTTAATTAAATTCAGTTTGTATTTCATTTCATTTGTTAAATGACTGCCGAAATTTGTTTTGATGCTAAATATCCATAGCGTGAAATATGTTTCTAGCATTGTTCGCTTGAGAATGATCTCTTTTGCACATGGAATAATAAAATGTGTTTAGAAAGTTGTGTTTTCTGTTTCTAAAATTACCTATTGCTTATTTATATTTATTTACAGATGCCTAAAACAATTAATTGAAGAACGTGGTTTATAGGCTGAAACGTTTAATCTTGAATACACTAACTTATTTGAGTATATTTTGTCCGTAAATAATAAGCGTGTATTTATCTCACTTAGTTATAGTTATTTCGTATTTCTTCAAGTTGACTGACTTAACAAAATATTCATAGTCGCTTGATAGTTCAAGAACTCATTTCTTAACATTTTATGCTACAACTCTTAATTTTGCTTAAAGACAGTGAAATGAATAACTGCTTATTATAACTACTTTTCTCATAAGCAGTATTATTAAAATGTTAATATATCAATGGGAAATTATGTAATCAGTTGCAGATAAGAATTTGAATCTCACTTCACTTACGTTACTTTGGATAGTGATGCATAATTACAAAATATCACATAATTTCATTTATTTAAAGTTTGGTCACTGAACTTATAATTGGAATAACGCAGAAAATTCTATTTAGATTTTCAAATTTTTACTATCGATCAAACGATTAAACTTGCTTTTTGTTTCTCTGAACAATCTCTTGTGAACAACATTATTCATGTTGAAAAAATATAGTAATGACTATAGTGTTCTATGTTAATACGTTACACCAAGATGATTTTATCATAAAGTGCTTGACACGATACACATAAACCAGGATTATCGAAAAGCTAAGAATAATGTTTTGATCAAATTTCAGTTTTATTTAAAAATGTAATAATTTTCCAAGTAAATGTCATTATGTTTCCACTACGATTGTATAGTTCAATAAATACTGAATAATTTGATGAATATTTGGGAGAATATTAAAATGAATATGGATTGATTACAGTTAGATATTAACACCGTTAGATGCCAGCTCATTGGTCAAGACGTTAAGCGTTTGCTTGCGAGACTGAAAATCCTGAGATCAAGTCCAGCAATGGGATCGTTAATGAGCGCTGCTGAGGAGTCTCATACTGGGACGACACGGCTATTCAGTGCTTCCAGGTTTTCGATGGTGGTCTAGCTTAGATCGACTCATAAATTCACACATTAAGATTATAATATTGTCAAAAAAACTGTAAGCTGAATGTTTGTTACAATTGAAAATAAAATCATTAGATTGTTATTTAAATTTACTATAAAAATATTCAAAACGTATTGTTAAATAAATTAAGCAATACATTCTATTCATTACATAATTAGCTATTGTAATGGAAAAATAAAGAATTCCCTTAGTTTGATAAAGATAATATAATGAGAAAACAAATACAATGTATAATGGTAAATTAATTTTATTGATTGTTTGGGAATAATTTTAGTTGATGAACTGTTAATAAAAATGACCATGTATTGACTAATTAAAAGAAAATATTTTTCCATTGTTTTGGAATATGATAACGCTTTACGTCGATGAAAATGTAAATGTCGGTTCACCGCTAACAGTAGTAACATGTATTATTGGTATATATATATATATATATATATATATATATATATATATATATATATATATACAATCACCGTGTGCTAACTCATTCTTCCTAGTCCGATGAACGCATGAAATATCATGGATAAACATTTATAAACTTCTGATTTTATAGAATCTAATGAACTATCCTAGAAAACATTATAAGTTATAATGAAATATTCACAAATACATTGTTTAAGAGGGTAGTCAAACGTTGTAGGTATTTGAAACCCTAGTATTTCAGCAAGTTGGAACATTTCAAACATGCGTTATTGAAATGAAAAGTTTAGACAGTCATAGTTTTTTGTAATATGAGAAAGATTATGGTGTATTTCAATAATATTTTGAAAAACACTACTACACAGATTTGAGGAACGACATCTTTTGACGAGGTTAACAATTTCCTGTAAGTTATTTTAACCTTATTCAAGATAGCTGTTACGTCCTCTACTTGATTAAAACAAAATACGATATACAACTAACAGTACTGAAACGTATGGAACCCCATAGTCCCAAATTCGAAGGCAGAAGAAAGCAGATGAAGTGATTGTTGAGTAAGAGTCAAAAATGTATATAAAGCATGTGTATTTATAGTTATTAGCGTTGGTTATAACATCATTATAATTCAGCCAATCCTCAAGGAGGCAAGTTATGCTAACGTCCAATAATAGCATGCCACGTTGATATTCTTGAAAACTCCACTAGGTTCTTGTTGGGTTTCTTTAGGGCCCCCGGAGGCTCAGTCGCAAGTCATTAAGACCGTCTCAACAATAGCAAGTAAACAAAAACATATATAAGCATATATTTGATTTTCCAAGTCGGTTATCTAGTTGACTGTTTTTTCTCCCTACTAGATTGCACAGTTTTTTTGACAGAACTCTCCACATTTCATCACGTATTTATTTGTTCTAATCAGCAAAAAAATCTCATACAGTCTTTTAATGTACTTATACATGTTTTTGCTTGGGCTTATTAATTGTTAGAAAATAATTGTCATACAACATGTTCTATTTAAACATTTCTGTAAAAATTAAGGTCATACAGGTTTTTAACCATAGACTCAACGACTTCTGTTTCGCCCTTCAATCATCCGTTGACTTGAAACCTGTTGAATTAATTCGTTTTTGTTTTAATTTACATGCTGTTGCCTGAAGAAACAAAACATAATGTCTATTACGTGATTCAGTAGCGTAAATAATGTATATGTGTAATGTTGGTCAATGTACTATTATAGTTTTCGGTTGATTGTTGTTTGATGATGTATTTATTCTGTACATAAACATAGAAACATCTATATAGTTTCTCAATATTATTTTTACGTTTATCCTTTATGTTTTGTATTTATCGTTTTTTTCTTTCTAGAGGTTATCGGATAGTATTGTCATCTTATCCAGTTATTCAAAATGTTAGTAATAGTACATTGGTAAATTATATCAGGCGAATGGTTCGTTGGCTTCGGCTACGATTGAATATATTACCGTTAGTTTCAGGTGTATTGGAACCATTATGTGAATCCATCACACTTGGTTTATTATTTGCATTAACTATGCATTATTTATTTGATATTCAAATTATTTATTTAATTATAATGCATTTTACACTTTGGATACTATTGGATTATACATTATTACGTTGTATACAAGTAAGTGATGAAGACTTTCTAAAAACTAAATTTCTTGAAAGGAGATTACAGTTTAATTAACAAGCTTTTGACTTCAATATTTAACTGTCATGCATATATGAGTTTGGAATTCCAACTACAAATTGTTGAATTATAATGTGTATTTCTTTTATGCCACTCTGTTATGACTAATGATCGACTGTCATAATCGCGTCACCAAATGTTATAGCTGGTCGTCGCTAATTGTTATGTCGGAATCGCTTATTACTTATGTAGTAAACAGAACACGGGTGGGGACAATCGCATGTATTTGACACGAAATTACAGAATTTCTTAATAAAATCTAACAACCATATAGTAAATGCTCAATTTGCAAAATGTCCATCAATTGTCTCAAAATGACTCAGACTTCATTGTTCTGGCATTTTCATACAAATTGTTTTCTGTTTTCGTTCTTTACTGTTCGATCTTCTTGTCTCTCTGCTGCCAGACATTCTGTTTACGACTAACATCATATACTACTTATGTCTACATATGTAGCACACATCACACTTATACTTGTAAAATGAGGAACCACTGCAATTTTCACGAAGCGAAGTAAGAACAACAAAACTGGTACAAGTGAAGATTTATTAACCGCAGAACACAGCAACGACCTCAGTCGAAAATGCACTCGTTTATACATTGATTGTAAACCCATTTGATTATTAATTAGGATGAAATCACATATATTGAAAATTACTTGGAGTTATAACAAATCATATACCTCGATTCATACTGTATATAGTTCATGTTAATTTGATACAAGAATATTGTATCTTAAATGAAGATCACACTCAAATTAGTGTTATAACGAATATATTATTATACTGGTAAAACCAAAACAAATACTACACTGAGTAATTATCACATTAAATTAATGAAGCGGAAGTACTGTTGAACAAAAATCACAATGAGTAAAAGAATGTAATTTTGCTTTTTAGTCCCATCATATCACACTCATTTACCAGGTACATGCCACTGTACTGAGCTTCGTATCATATTTTAAATTTGGTGACTAGTTACATTGATGTAGTGGGGTTCAAATCTGGAACTCAAAGGGTAAAAGTTGAATATCTTAGCTAATTGAGTCGCCGCTCCAGCATGCAGTGTGCATATAATTCGATAAGGAAGTATGCGCCTTCTAGTAAAAAATGCAAATATTAAAGATGTAGCAACAAGAATAACAAATGTGCGAAGATATTTCACACTCGAAATATTACAGTTTTGATCAAGACCTAAAACAAGCCTTTAAGTTCTCATGTTCAAAACAATATTAGAAGAAAGGAAGATTTAAATTGTTTGTAAGATTGTGTTGAATATAATACGACTGTTTCTTAAATATTTTGATGTCCTACCATACGAATTGCAGACTGACACATGAGAAATATCTACTTATTATTCTGTAACACTCTACTGATTTATTCATAGTGTAATAGACGTAAACTCAGGTGGGGTAAACCAATTTACTGCTTAGTGCAAAATTACAGGGTGTTTTCATAAAATAAGGAAACCATACATTAAATACATTATTTGAACATCTTCCTTCATTTGTTTTTGATGTACTTCATGATTCTTTAATTTCTGTTGTTATTACAATAGTTGTATGTTCCCCTTCCCGTTCTCTTCAATTTAATCTTTACAAATCTTCTGCTGGCAGGCATTCCACTTTCGTTTGCTGCTACATACTACTTATATCTCTTAGCACAATTAGTATACACCGTAATAGAATGATGTATCCTTTCATTATGAAGCTTTGATTGAAAATCATATTTTTACTTGCTCATCCTAAAAGACTTATATATGTATATAAATGTGTACTTAGTAACTAAATATATCTTCATATATTCTCGGCGACTATTGATTTTGAAAATCACCAGTGTTTTTAATTGTTTAAACAAAATCAATAATACGATTCTCCAAAAAGCGATGCAAAACTGAAGTATTTCAATTCTCTTTTCAAAGAATCTATGACATAGTGAATAAGTACGTTTTTTCACGGATTTATATTTTATAATGAATTACACAACATTAAAAAGAGCTTGATTAAAAACACAATCATTTGCATTTGAAATAATCCGTATACTAGTTTCATCTCACAATATTTATTGATACTAGTGATGCTCCTTAAGCTTGCTTATTGTGATTTTAGAATAAATTTAGTAATATTCAGTAACTGCTTTGATTGTGGCTGTCGTGTCTGCATTCGATATAATTCGTAGCTCAATTAATTACCCTATAAAAATCAACCGTTTATATCAAAATTTCAGCTGTAGTAAAAATTTTATTCTTTGTGAATTTTTGTAGTCCTGCTTCATAAAAGTTTTATTCTGTATTTTTTGTCTTCCCATGTTTGTAGATAATAACTTTTTTCAGACAATTTCTTAGTTTAATCCCATACTTTCAGTATAACAAGAAAATCACAATACATTAGTTGTATTTTTTATTAAAGCATCAATAAAATTTTCTTCAAAAAATAAACACAGTTAACTGATTTTCCAATGAATTAAATTCGATGATAATTTGATATGAAGGTGGAAATATATTTTATTATCTTAGTGAAGGGTTGACTCTGTTAAATATTTTATCCCATATTATTTTGTTTATTCTCTAATAACACTGTCCCGATTGTTGTTGCTACCTTGACGTGGTGGTCGGGCTTGCCTATCGTGATGAACCAATCAAGCTCTACTGGCTGGACAATCGTTCTTCAAGGTCCTACTATGCCAGACAGATCGGGTAAAGAACGTTAAGACAAAAAATCAGCAAACCTCAAGGTCTGAGGGTGAAGTCGTACCGCTGAATGTACAGAGGTGTGACAGCAGTAAGGTGTTTCCTTCAGACAACTCTCATAACAGCGATGCTGCCTTCCCACAAGGAGGGCTGGAGTTAGAAAAGACCGACTTTGAAAATGCACACCTCGCCTTATCGCACGGATATTTGTCTCAACAAGTACGAAGCTAACACGAAAATTACTCACGAAAGATCGTGTGTACCCGGCCTCAAGCAGCTGTCCCTTGGGCACTGCGGTCACGCTCCCAGGTCACTAAAATTCCCTCTGATCCAACTTCCTTTTCAAGTATCTCAAAAAGAAACCCTTCCACGGTGTAGGACACCGGAAAGTGATACCCGCCCTCATTCCTTTAACAGCACTCAAGACTGAATAACACCGTTTATGTCCGGTTCTCAAATAATTATTCACATGAGACAAATATTAAAAGGTTTAATAACTCGATACTTGGTCACAGGTTTCAGTTGTTGCAGAAACCAGATAACATAATGATGTATTCTACATATATCTGTCAGCACAAGTAAAATACATTACACTGGCTGCGACACCGAATGTATTGAATGAGACATCTGTGGGGAAAACCAATTTATTGTTTAGTGAAATATGAAAATCATACATGAACTACATCATTTGTAAGTCTTATCTGAGTTTTACTTTACCTACACCATCGTTCCTCTAATTGAATTGTTATTTTGATTGTTCTCCAATTTTATTTCTGCTCGCTTCAATCCAATCTTCTGTCAGATATTAAATTTCCGATTGAGGTCACGTACTACTTATAACTGTCAGCATAAGTAGCACACATCACAGTATCCTTAGTTCTCACAGATCATGTATGACTTAAAGTTTAATAGTAATTACATGTTAGTAAATATTCATTAAATTGAATAAATTTTACCGGTTTATTTAGAATTGTCCATAACTAGTCAGTTGGATATTAGCAGAATAATATCGATTTTTATTATCCACTGTAAGAAGTGCATTTCACAAAAGCACGTTATCATTTATGAATCAGAAATTCAAATAAGTTCTTCTGGAATGTACTCAACTTGTTTAGATTTTAATTTAATACATATCAGAGCAGAATCTTTAAATAACAATTATTTTATTTCCATAATTCTAGTACGTACATGTTTAGTTAGGCACAAAATTTTTATGATTTGTTTTCAATAACTATTTCATTTTCATTTCTGTATTGGTTGTTTCAATCTTCCCATTGATGTTTAGGATTGCAATTGATCAGTCTCTTATTGGCATATTTACATCCTGTGCGGATCGCCTTGATATTGCCTTAAATAAAAACATTTTAAGTAGAGATGGATTCAAACAAACAATACAAAAATGAATTAAAACTTCAGCCCATTACACAAGATAGCGGTTATCCGGACTCAATAGCTTAGTGGATAACGCGGTAGCGTTTGAAACGAACGGTTCTGGATTGGAGTGTATATCAACTCTGAGATACACGTACATTCAGCTGAATAGTCCCAAATAGGACGAAACGCGAGTCCTGGATTCCACTGCTAGTTACCATCCGTCTCTGCTTATTTTGTTTCATTTTCATTTCCACGCTTTTATAGTATATTTTACATTATGTTCTTTGATAATCTTTTTGAAGAAAAATTAAAAACAAAAAACTCTTCACTTTGTTGTAGTTAAGCATGTACAAAGCTTTTTGAAAAAGATTTTAATATTTTATCATGGATTAACTTTTAAGAAAAGTGCATGTTAATATTTCGATTTACGTGGAAATTAATGACTTAGCGACGGACTTTTAAAAAAAATTTATTTCTACAGTTTTAATTCTCATAATTAATTTAAATAATCTGGTTACTATTGATTTTATATAAAGTGAATTGATAGTATTTCAGTAAACTAGATGATCATAGTTCTTCGTCCGATATCGATGTTATTAAAGCTAACAACAACTAAATTTGACTTGATGTACAGATTACAAACTAATTATCTGGAATGGTTTGTTAATTTCACCCATTCTCGTACACTAACTCTATCTTATGATAATTTTGATTCTTTACTAATATTATTTGTTGATCCACTAGACAAGAGGTTAAATTGATCACCTATTGCGTTTTAATCTAAGGATCTACATTAGTGCTCGGATTCAACACCTACAGGATTTAAAAACAGAACCTTCAAGTTTCGTTGGGAACTCACTACAATTATATTACATATAATTCGATGCTTTGCATGTTCAATACAAGTCATTTCGCGATATAACGCCGTTACTATGTTTGACAATAACAGAAACCAAGGATTTCATCTAAGTTACTTACTTACGCCTGTTACTCCTAATGGAGCATAGGCCGCCGACCAGCAACTCCATCTGGAGTCCTTCCGGAGGCTACTGCCGGTCCAAAGCCCGGATAAAGGAGCAGGGTTGGGCGTAAAGTTAATGACCCTACCCCGTAGAAATTTATTTATTTTAACACATAGATATAAGTACAATGAGGCAACAAATACATGTGCGCCACACATATCTCATTTGATATGTGTGAGGGCTGTGATACTGCCTGGGTGCCCAAACCGAAGCAGGTGGTTTTCTTAGGGGGCCACACCCCGAGACTTCGACCTGAACGTCTGACCCACAAGACAGTGGAGCATCGTAAGGAGATGCAATCCCATAGTAGCCGGTGACCAACGATTGGTTCACACGCCATTTGTTCCCTCAGGATACTGGAGCCCATGTGCACCATTGGATTGAGATCCGGTTAAAGCACCGGAAATTCTCTTTTCGTCCTCTCAATTTCGTAAACAACACCCCCGCCACTAGAAGGCAGTGAGTAGGACTTCCCTAGCAGAGGCTATATACGCATGGCCATGTGAGAGCATTTCGAGAGGAACAACGGACTCTCCCCACCCTCAACCGTACCAGCGCATTTGGGGGCATCCCGTAGAAAACTAACTCGCTAAAAAAACACTAACCAGGAAAAATTATTCAAACCATTTCGTCTAACTACTATTCTCTAATGAACGTAATGTTATTATTTAGACAGTTCAGTTTCATTCTGGATTGACATCATCTAGAAATTCACTGGTCACTGGCAAAATTATAAATTCTTTCGGTTCTATATGTGGTCGCTGTTGCACAAAACTTTATGACTTCAAAATAGGACAAAACAGTTGAATAGCGAAATGGCACGCATCAAGTAGGATAAATTTACATCAATATTTTGCTTTTTTAAATATTTGAAAAAGGTGATGAAATTAAATAAGTTGAAAATTTGAAACTATAGAGAAGATTAGTTCGAGTACATGTACCACCTTTTGATTGGAAGGTTGTTGGATTTCTAAAGATGGGGTTTCTAATTTCATATTTTATTTTCTGCCATGTAAAACATCTAAACCCAGCGGCTTACAGCAAAATAAAATCAACACGGTTCTCTTGTTAGCAATTTTATAACGTGGTTGAGATTACTTTCTCACAACTCATAATCCTATTCTTTAAACGAATTTGGGTCTAATAGCAGCTTCAGAGGAGCTGCAGTCGGAGTTAATGGATACGGTAAGTGCTTATAAATGACTGATCAATTTTGTAGAATACTGATTTCTCTGTTACTTTGCCTTCATTTTTTTAATCTCTTTCCGCCTATATGCTTTTCTTCGTTGTTTTTTTTGTTTTTCACTAACAGAATTCAAAACTTCCATTTTCATTTGCGAAATTTCTACTAGCGTGGATTAGTCGCGAATTATTAGTCTATATTGTTTTTATTACTGCTCTATCTAATCCATGGCGTATTAAATGGGGTAATTACACTTATCGTATTCATTTCGGTGGATTAACTCAACGTTTATCGTCTAATAGTACAGTTATGAATCATTATGCCAATGATGATTACATGAAAATAAATACAGACGTTGCATCTTATAATTCTAAACCTGTGTTTTGTGGTACATCAATAGATGTGCAGAAAGCATTCAAAAGGCGTACAGTTTCAGAAAATGTTCACATGCAGGATACAAACAGAGTTTTAGATGGATTTCGTGATGAAAATAGGTTTGATTGTTTAAATGATGAAATTATCAACAATTCTCAGCCGGAAACTCATTTGTTTTCATATACAACGATGGGAGTATCACCTGTCATCCATGATAACAGAAACATTCCTTTTCAAGTTAATTCTGGTAACACAAAAGATATAGTAAGCAGTGGCATTATTGATAACTTCCTTCCCACCAACTTTATCAATAAAACGAATGTAAAACTCAACGGATCCGATAATGAAACAATTCAGGTTAATGCACATATTGATAATTATACTAATAGCCTTGATAATAATAACAGAATCAATAACAATGGTGTCAGTAGTAACATTAATGGGTTATAGTCACAAATGACTAGTCTGTGAAGTATTTGTTTTACCAATTACTGAATCCAATACCCCTTTGAATCAATTGTAATACTGTCGTAATATAAATTTTTAATCAAAAAATTATAAAAGAGGAAATTTCTAAAACTCTTCACATTTACGCCCAACGTACGCTATGTGTTTTGACAGATGCTCTTATTATTGAACTAAGGCATAGGAGCTTTCGTAATTATAATTTTTGCTAATAATCGTGAAGTTATCATACTTTAGTTCATTTCAATTGATAAATTCAACTCATTTTTTCCAATTTTTTTTTACAAATAACTAGTGAATGTTCAATACTCAGTTTTATTTCTTGTTAACTTTTAAATATTTTTCTTGGAAAAAATAATTGTCTTTCTTTATCTGACATTTCTTTCCGTCACCTTTCATACTTAAAAGTGAATATCGGTTGAGGTTTGATATCAAAGTTTTGTCCGCCTCTCTGTCTGTATATTATTGTCTATCAGCCTGTCCATTCCATTGTTTATCAGAATAATATATAATTCTAGATGTTATATTTAGTGCAAATAAGTTTTCATATCAAATGATTTCATTTTTGATAATTTGTACAAGTGTATGATTAAAAGAGACAAGAAAGCTATAAAATAAAAGAATCGCATTCCTTACAATGAAATTTAACTAATTTATCAAATATATATATGTATATACATTTCCCAATGTATGTCATATTATTTCTGTACATAATTTTTCTCTTAAAATGAATCATAATGTTTTTTTCGAGATGTATTATGTTCTTTATTTTGTGTCTACATTCCTAATAATCACGTTTCTGTGTGATTTTTGTAGTGTTTCATTTATGTTTCTCTAGAAAAGATGAATTTAACATATTTTAAATCTATTCATTTCATTATTATCACCTACATGAATAGGTGTGTTTACTTTGAACTAACTTGTATCAACTTTTTTTCCTGGTTGTTTTAACTGTTCAATTATATTAGCAAGATTTCACCAGTAATTTATTATTATTCTATTTACATTGTGTAAATAAAATTTATCCACACAGACCATCATCAAATTGATGTGCCAATATCACACCTGCTCAAAATGAAATGTATTGTGCAAACATTAGTTCTTCGAGAAAAAATACAAACTTTTAATGTTAAATTTGTTGCTTTATTTTTATTTGTTTGTTACACAGTTTCTTTTTTTTCATTTAATTTGATAACATTCAATTAAATAAATTAAATTGATGAGTTCCAAAACATGTTTCTCCTTTAAAATTTAATTCATCCCTGCATAATTTCTATACAAATCACAATTGATAAATGGGCAATAAGATTCGAAAAAAAACATTGTTTATTATTTGTTTTCAAACTATCTTATTCTTGCTATTATCTGGAATTCTCTATATTCCCTATTATTTATTATTATTTTTCATCTGTGATTGTGATGTAAAACTATTTGATTATTTATTATAATAATATAAATTGTTTAATCTTTAATAGTAACGTTGAATAAATTGTTTTGTTTTTCAAACTTGGTGTACGCATAAGTATAATGATAATATTCATTTTATTGAAAACCATATATGTTTGTATAAGCAAAAATGGATAGTGTCTAGCAGTGGAATCCAGGATGCGTGTTTCGTTCTATTTGGGACTAGTCGGCTGGACGTACCTGTATCTCAGAGTTGATGTTCACTCTGGGACTCGAACCCAGTTCCAATCGAGACAACGCTAAGACATACCATTTATATCGAATTTATAATTAATCAGTAATTTGAATTTCTATTACACATTATAATCCTTTACACAATGTCTATAGAGGCAGATATTTTAATAAATTAAGAATGACTATGAATCACATTTTTATTATAAAAGTTTTATGGTCACGTTAAAAGAAGGTAGCATATTTAATGACGAGGTTTTATCATGGGATATAAGCTCAAGCCACTATATTTTACAGAATGTTATTATAATTCATAATAACAATAATAATAGTAATACTGATTCCTAATGTTCGAGTTTCGCTTTTTTCCTATTTTGTTATAAGACTAATGATTGTCAAAATTTATTGTAATTAAAGTACTTAATAACTCCTAAAGTACTTGACCTTATGTTAGCGAGAGTTTTACCAAAGACTTTAATCACGTTTGATTATTGACGAGGTCGTTAAGTACGTTGATTGCAAACGTTTAAGAGAAAGAAAATTATTACCATGTAGAATATCCTATTTTTAAAAGATGTGTATTGTATTGTACAGTCCGGCTCGGCAACTAATGCTTACAGTGAAGAGGGAAAATGCAAACTGCTATAGGCTTTATGACCAGACAGAAAAACAACCGTTTCTTAATGATATTTGCCCTGATCGAGACAGATACACTGGAATCCAACCTTCGCCAGATAAATAATTTAGATGATGAACCGATCACATCAACAATCTCCAAAACCCTGACAGATTAATAATTCACTTATTAACATTAGGCTGATTACACCCGACCTTGGAACAGCATGTGGTCCGTCAGGGACTGCCCGGCATGGGAACTTGTGATACGGGTGCCATTGTATTTGATTACTTTTGGACCATTCCGAATTCTAATAGATTGATGTTTAGGTTGAAGGAGTTTGACTTCTCTAAGTGTATGTTACCAAACAGTATCATTTTAACAAATACTGCGAATAATACTAACTACAATAACAAATAAAAGAAATCTTTCTCAAAAACAGGAGCCATCTCATCTTGAACAAAATTAATCACTTTAGTTTCAGATTCCCATATAGACATGCTGTAAGCGTTTTACCAAATACCATAATGTGATTTCTATGAATTATTAGAAAATTTCTATGTGCATAGTCACTACTGAAAGCAATATTTGGTTCTGGATTTATATTTCGTTCAATTCTGAAATCAAAGTTAACTGCAATATTTTTTACGAATTGTTTTTACGACCAAATTAGTTTAGCGATATTCATCAAACCAGTATTTGTTATACTAAACGGTGAATGTGGATCGAATGTTAAGAGTCATTTATAGAATAATACCAAATATGCTGTTAATTTTTTACAAAATAGTCTTGCTGAAAGAATTTTCAACCCAATTATTGATCTATTCTGTTCATAATCATACAAGTTTAAAACAATTCAATTATTTGTTCCCAACTCTAAACAAAGCCGCTTTTTAAATGTAATCAATCCATGATCGTACTTTTATAATCAAAGTGAACTGAGTTATTAAAATATCCGCACTAAATAGATCTTTATTGATGTGAGAAAATGTAGGTCACAGATTTAGCTGACTTCTGTGGGGTGTAATAATATGATTAGTCTGCTTTATTCTCATTTCCTCTGTTCAACTTGCATATGCCACTTGGAGATTTATTTTCTGATTCACCTTTAACATATAGATGAGTCATACAATCACAAAGAATCATGATTATTTTCACGTAATGATAAACAGCAATTTGTATTCACTGTTTGGAAATATAAACTATCTTATTTAATTGTGCTGAAATAAATATATTATCCTAATAAATTATTTATTGTAAATAAGCCTTTTTTAAGAAAATGGAAAACATGGGGATTATTTTAAAATAGCAGTAAATTATTTCCCTCGAGTACGTATGAAAAAATGTTTAATACAAAGGAAAATAGAAAGATTTGTCTAAAAAATCCTATGCAAGTTAATCAATGAACCTCAGTTGCTTCATTTTATATGTAATAATTAGTCAGTAAATTACCATCACAGTGTCAAGATATTTATGACTTAAATCAAACTACTTAAGTAGTATAGAAGATTACAAGAAACAATCTGGTACGATTGTTTTCTGGTTTGCATACTTGGGTGCTAACGCAATTCGAACCAGTGCCAGGATACACCAACCTTAGTGGTATGTGCCAATCAGTCAGTCATTTTGTCTACTTCATAAAATTCCTACACATATTGTCGATCGCTCCCTAAGAGTGAGTACCACTGCTTCTCAATGTGTAGATGATTGTAAGCGAATACATTAATTAATTGTGTTTTAAGAGACTAATAATATATTATCATAAGTAAATCACTTATGTTATAAAATTAGCGATTCATTTATTTTATGACAGCTGAAAAATCATCGCTTTACTTCTTAATGAATAAATTATCAGATTCTGAATGTCTGTTTTGCTAGTTTTGGTATATTATAACGAGGATGGAACGGTTGGTAAATCCTAAATTTGTGGGTTCATATTGAACATATTCATATTGTATAATTACTGAGTAATTGGATTACTATGTTTATATATTCCATTATGAGCTTTTAGTTGATACACTAACTACTGTTATACGACTTGCAAGTCCTAAATTGTTGCCAGTCTTTTATTTACAACTTGTATTCACAGCCATTTTTGGCTCGTTTATTTATAATTGTTATTCATCATTTTACGATGTGAAGCGGTACAGTATACCTACATATCAACCACATCTGTCTAAAATATGAGTACGGTAGGGGCTGGTTGTTGACTTTTAGATTTAAATCAGGGCACAGAGAGAAGCTTAAGTATAACGGACCAAATAAGAGCCTAACTGGGTCGGTTCAGAATCAGTAGTCCTGGTCAGGAGTGTCACTGGTCAAACCTAGGACGCTAGACCATAGAATAGCGGAAGTCAAATAGACAAAATTAGAATTAAGATTCTAATTGGTGACTTGACATGTGATATTAGTCAGTCGATTCAAGACACGATGTCTGAGGTGCAATTCATGAGGTTAATTAAGTTAGTTCCCAGCACAAAGTATAATATAATTTTTAGACCAAATAACATCTAATTATAACTTGATTACATATTTCCTTTAAACTATGAGTCATTTAAACGATTTCATCCGAGCAGAGTTCTAACTTTATAATGTATTACGGAATACTTATATGTTCTTCTTTTTGTAAGACTTGACATCAATATCAGAAAAACCATCAAGAAGCGCAAATTGTAATAATATTTTACTAAGAAAAGAAAATCTGTTCGTATCAATAAATGGAAATAGCTGGTGTAGTCAACATCAAAAATAAGTTTAGGTTCGGTATTTCTCCCGATGAACATTCGTGCTCATGTTGAAATTCAGAGATAACATGTTGACAGCTGAAATAATACTTTAATATTTTTGATGTTACTAGATGGAAATCTTTAAATTCATCATTATTTTATACACTAACAAATGGATGTACATCGTAGCTTGTTTCTATGGTATGTTGAAACTATATGTACATCGTGTCCTTGATACCTACAAATTACAACCATCATTACTCACCATTCTGCAAACGGTATCATACAATGAACCAATAACTTTTTAAATTTGCCTTTCAGTGTGATAATGTATGTATATAAATCCTAGTACGGAGTGCCAAAGGGTATGAATCAATGACCTCAGAGAGGATCGAGGTGAATAGTTAATCATTAGATCACAAAAGTAGCATCCAGTGGTACACATTTTCAGCTTTATTCAACTCGAGATCCTAATAATTGTTAATGACTTAAAACCCTCGCAAACATAACTATATATAATTATTTTGAGTCCTCGTTTTTTTTAAATTTTAACTGAAAATTTGATTGCCAAAATATGAACAAACCTATCTGAGATGCCATTTATAAATAGCAGAAAAAATTAAAGTAAGATTTGAGGCCTTTTTAACTAAAAAAATGCTGAAATGAAAATAAACTTATGAGGATTGAAGCAATTCCAGTGGGAGCTATATTTCTCATTTGAAAATAAAGTATACCAGTAATACAGAATGGGGACTACTATTACTACTACTACCAGTAGGAAATATAATAATACTCAAATTATCCACACCTATTTTCTGTAATATTAGCTTAAAACAAATAGGTTAAAACTCGAAAGTGACGAAAGATGTCAAACGTTAAAAGGTAGGATGGCACTTAAAATCATAACGAATGAGTCCATAGCTGTGTTATGTTAGTGGTTGAACAGTAGACTGATGTCAGTCTTACAATCCCATAACCAAGTGGAAAATGGTTACAGTATCAGTACGAAACATTTATAAAAGGCTATTGCCTAATTAATTTCTGTTAATAAACAAAATAAAAAAAATTAATTCACACTATCTTTATTCGAACTGTTTACTGATATTGGATTATCAATGTCATTTCGACTATTTGAAATTAATTTATTTGATTCCGATGTTGTTGATGAATTAACTGAGGATAACCGTTGAGTAGGTATATAGGTGTAGTTTACTGTAGAGTTTGGATGAGAGACTTTACCGTGTAATCTCCATGTACCATATTCATCGGAAATATGTCTTTCAAATACAACATAATCGAGCACATCGACAGCAGTATCCGGATTGCCATATAGTAGACGCCCAAAACGATTATAAATGGATAAAATCTGTGTTATTTCAAATGAATATCAGAAGAAGAGGTGATAACACTTGATAAAAATATATAAAGAATAAAATTCTAAGACTGGTTAGCTATACACAAAAAGTGATACACAGGAACCACTCATAATCATATTTCTAACTCAGTATACCCTAAGAATTATCAAGTTTTTTA